CGAGCTGACTATTGGGGATAGTTTTGATTTACTATGTTCTGGTCAGTGGAATTTCTCTTATAGATTTCATGAAAAATGAAAATGCAGTTAAAATGTGGCAGAAACTAACTTAATATTTTAGACAAATATTCCAGCTAGGTTAGTAGGTAACACTTACTAATTACTTGCTATACTTGAGCTCCTGGTGTCAGTTTTTAGAACTACTATAATTTCAGAAACTCAGTTAAATTTTTTTACAGGTATGTTTTTTACTTGTTTAAAAATTTCAGCTCTGATTTCCACCCCCAAATTTAAGGAGGTGACATACATTTACTGACGCTGTTATTCTACTGTCTCCATCAAAATATATGCAACCCTTTCTTTAATTCTGTCGAATTACTTAAATGGCACACGTATTTTAAAGTGCATTATTGAATTTTAAGGCTATATTTATAATAGACATTAACACAAAACAATAAGGCTGACCACAAGAAAAATTACTTTCAGTGGTTGGGATAGATTTCAGCTACAAATATGAAAAGATAAGCATGCAATCCAATGTGAAGACTCACATTAAGGCATATTTGCAGCTTGCTAATACAATTAAAAAACAAAATGGCAGTTGGCATGATGTGTAAAAAAATTTTGTACTTAATGAAGCATACCAATTAATCTTATTTAGTCTACTAGCTCTTTCTAGAATTATAAATTTAACAGGCAGCATAAAGTCTACTATTAAAAACAACTGCAATGTTTAACAAGGGAGAAGCTGGATCAATGTCTTGGCAGATGCACTTTAATTAGACAAAGATCAAGAAGGAATGCTGATACCAGAGTGAGCTTTGCAGCCCTCCTGTTTCTCCTCCTCCTTTGCAGTGAAGGCATGGAGAAAAATGAGGTTGGAGAGAGTCACCGGAGACTGAACGAGATTACAGTGGTCTGATGGTATCTTAGGGGTGCCAGGAGCCATATATTTGGGTGTTGGATTGAATGATAAAGGCTCAGGTGTGGTCTTGGGACTCAAAAGATTGGGTGGCACAGGATAGGCACCACTGATTCCTGATCCCACAGCAGAGAAAGCACAATGAAAGGTAACAGGTTGTGATCTAACTGATTATCTTTGTTTTTGTCTGTTCTACTTTGAGGATAAATAGCACCTATCAGAAAATCAAGGTGGTGGCCACAGGCTGTTGCTTGTACCAAAAGGTCGGACTCCTCTCCTTTTTAGCTCCACATACAAAAGGTTTTAGGAGACTTCTGGGATTCATTGTAAAATGGATGTTTCATGTTGTTCCAAATTTATAAGCATTCTAACAATCTACAAACCTTACAGATAGTTAAATTTATTTTTTTATGGATAATTGTGGTCATTCATAATTGCCAACACGCTGCTTCCTATTTTTCACAATGGCATCATAAAGTTCCTTTGTGGTGCAACATGCATGAACATGGATAGTGTTTTAACAAAATGTGACAAAGATGAAGAGTTTAGCTATTTCCTTTAAAAATCTTAAATTTTAAAAGCAGGCAATCCAAATATCAATGTAGCTTTCTCACATTATTTTACAGACATCTTGTTGCAGTTTTTATTGGAATAAGATGGATTTTCCTTTATAAGTTTTGGCCACATATTTATTTGGCTAATCAAGCAGGGAGGGAATTATCCTGCAAAAAGTTGCTTTTCTTTAAAACTTATGCACTCCTACATAATCTTTCTTTTTCTTCAAGAAAAAGATCTCAAATATAGTATCTCTATGATCTCATTCACCAAAAACACGTTAAAATTTTATTACAAATATCTTATAAAAAACAAATTTTAAAAATCATGGAAATGTGTACATTAAGTGATAAAAATATATGTAAAAGATCTTCACTGATGCTTTGTAATAGAGAAGTAAAAACAATCTCGATGTCCATTTAATAGGGACTAATTAAGGATAGTCCCACAATGTAATATGTAGTAATTTACAAAAGAATGAGGTAAATCTATTTAAACACTTACGGAAAGGTGTCTACCAATATACAATAAAATGAAAAATAATCACAGAACATTAAGAATACTGTTCTATTTATATAAAACTAATATACAAGGACATATACAAACACACTAGAATATTTGCAGAAAGTTTCTGGAAGGACACATATCAAAACATTAACAGTGGTCACCCCTAGAAAATAAGGGATGGGGTAGAGCAGGTGAATTTGCATTTTATAATTCTATATGGTTTGATTCTTTTAAAGGAGTATATATTACATTTACAATAAAAAAATGACAAGCTTTGGATAGAAAGATATTTATTTTATGTGTACGCTTCTTTTTCTAAAGTAGCTTTTCAAATTTATCCCCAAAGTTACTACTATTGTTTTACTTTCAATGTTGGCACTAACATATAAATAATCTTTTTGCTTTCTTCTCTCTTTTTAAGATCTTGATGATACTTAGTAAAAAAAAATCACAAATTATTACGTTAAGTCACTATCAGGGAAAGACCTAATATATACCAACTGTGAAAGAGAAAACTACATACATTAATTTAAAAAAAAATCTATGCAATAGAAAAATGAAAATCCTGTGCAACACTGTGTACAGTATCTCAAGCATTGATGAAAGAGCTTTCACTGATAACAGACACTGCTTTGTAACTGGAAAATTGGAACATTTCTAAATAATATAAAAATTCCTCCAAAAGATAAGTTATTCAAAGGAAGGAATAAAAATCCCTGAGTAGGCCAAAGACAAGAGACACAATAACCTAAGAAAATAGATTATCTAAGACCAGAGAGTATATTATTTAGCCAGTTGGTATATATGTATGTGGCAACTGTATTTATATGCAGCTATGGAAATATTATATATGTATGTATATTTAAATGTATATATACATACACATATCATACATAAACATATTATCCACTAGATTTAAAATTCATCACATTCACATATTGTCAAACTAACACCTAAGTCCAGAAAAAAATGAATTTACAAAAATTAAGCACTTTTATGACAGAATTACATCGATGTAGGCTAGAAAGTTTCATTCTCTTGTTTTAAGACTAGAGCACATAGAATAGGCACTCAAAAATATCCATTGGATGGATGGATGAATGGAAAGGTGAATTTGTGAAACTAAAGCATCACTTTTTCTTGCACCATGTTATGCTTTAGAAATACACCATTGTAGAATCACAAATGGCACACCTTCTTCTAACTGAATAGAGACTAGTCCAGAAGCTTCAGTGTAGCTATTCTGAGTGTTCTTCAGAAGGAATGGAAGCATGCTAGCTCATTACTCATGCAAGTAAACTTCACTATCATGGACTTTTTAGGCCCAATAAAAATGATAAATGTTCTTATATTTGTTAGAGCCCAACAAGACCAACTATCCATGTTAATGCATGTTTTATCACAGAATTTATTACAATTCAGGTAAGGCTTCTGACAAATAAATGCTACATCTATGCAGATATCTAATTTTAAGGATTTGGAGACAAGGGGAAACTTCAGGCTTCTTAGGGATCTTTACTTCCATTCTGCTAATGAACTTTCATGATGAAAACAAAGGAATAACATTGTTTAGCTATGTGTCTTTTTCTTATTTTTAAAGACTTCTCAGCTTGGTAAAACTTGCTGAAAATATTTCCTTCATTTTTTTTTTGTTTCCTTCTCCAAAAGTTGTTTCTATTTTAGATAAACGCATCCATAATCACAAAAATTTGTGTTTTCAAATTACCCTATCCATAAGAAGACATCAGCACATTAGTATGCACTTGAGCAGTAAACATAAGAAAAACCCTTCAAAACTAGTACTTTTTTTAAATGAAAATCTTGGGGACAAACAAAAAAGAGAGAGAGAGAAAGAGAAAAGAGGTAAGAGGGTGGGGTTTCCAATACTATCAGAACTTGACCTAAAGCAGAATTATCTGTCATTACTAGTTGATTAAAAAACTAGCAGAACAACAATTTGTTTAAAGGCTTAAGCAGTTCTCACTACAGCAAACTTGTTATTTAAATTAATCCCCTCTGAAGGATTTGTTCATTTAATAAAACATCTATGCCAAAATATAAGAAATCTGAAGAGACTAAACATTCTGGTCTTGAGAATTTCCTAAAAGCAGCCTATCAGTTTTGTCAGTTAATAAAGTTTGATGATCCTTGAGGTGACATTGCACAAATTTCTGGCGTGTGTGCATGTGTGTGAGACAAAGAGAACAAGGAATAGAAAGGGTCAACATCAAAGTAGCCTGTTGTCTACATTGACTTTAATTCAGTACATTACCAAAATATGCCCACAAAGGAACGATTATCTTTAAGTATGTCTATGAAAATGTGGAAAAATAGTGTAGAGGCATGGAACTTGACAAGTACAAGGTAACTGAACCTAGTTTTAATACAGATACTTATTATACACACACATTCACACCCCTGCACATATACACTTCAGCAACCCATGATTCTTCTCATTAATTTCGTTTCATTTGTTCCCTTTTGGGCATTGAGATTTTTAATAATTATAGCATCGGAAGGATGAAGGAATTACATTGCTTGGGCCACAGATAAAAACAGGTACATATGGCCGGCCTTTATCTTCTGAAAAGTGGCCTTGCTTATTGGTACAGGTGGGATGATTTCCACTATTCACACCAAGTCTCAGAAGAGGGCCTGGAAGGGGGGTTAGGTACAAAGACAGTCCAAACAGTGCTCGGGAGAGGCATGCTCAGATAATTCTGAGGATAACTGGCTCTTAATTAAAATATTTTCTTCCAAGAACCAGTAAGAATGTCAGAGTTATGTTACAGATATTTATAGTCTATGAAAGTGACCATTTTTTAACAGCAGCAAACTGTATAAGGAAAGGACAGGATACCATGTAGGGAGCGCACCGGAGCTAGAGGCATTGTGGCCTGCAGAGAACCACAGGGAGACTGGACGCAGTGTTTTTCAAGACGTGACTCTCAGACGGTGTGCCATTCTGTGTGGCTCCTACCCAGACCGGCTTAGTTACAGGAAATCATTCTGCATTTTACCAGTGCATTCCTGTCCGTGATCGTTTTCTCTGTTTTTTACAAAGGCAATAGATAGGAAATACAAATAAACCTAAGGATTAAAAAAACAAAAAAAGATTAAAGCTAATTAGGAGGAAAGGTATTAGGTTTATATATTTGAAATTTTTCCATTTTCAATTTTTCATTTTGTAGTCATTTACAAAAAATTATTATTTAGCAATGCATGCAGATGAAAGAGGGGAGATACCTATGCAATAACATGTAGTTACTTTTATAAGATTTCATTCTTTATTATTTTTGTACAGTTTTCTCTCCCTTTTAACAACCTCTGTGACACCAGTTTGAATATGGAATCATGTTTTCTATCAAAATATTCAATCTCAGGTTTGTCTTCTTTACTATCCCCAGTCATATAATTTGCACTCTGATATCACACTTCAGTTTCAGGCAGGATAATGTATTACTTAAGAACATGGACTGTAGAGCCAAATGCCAGGTTTGATTCCCAGTTCTACCACATAGGAGCTCCTAGTAAGCCTGACTTTCTTAACTGTAAAATGCAAATAATAACATCTAATTATTTTTATCTAGTTCATAAAGTCCATCATAAATCATAAGAGCTTAACTGTCAGTTACTTTAAAATTCTACGTGTCCTGTACATGTAAATTACTTGCTAAATAGAACTTTACATATGAAAATTAATTTTACTTAGAAAAGAAATCCCATCTACTATGTTATCAAAGCCATCTTTATTTACAGTGCCTAATTTAGTTTTACTTTTTTTTTTTAAGGCTTATTCATTTTTCAGAGACAGAGAGAGATAGAGTGTGGGGAAGGTTTGGTGGACAGAGGGAGAGACAGAGAGACACAGAATCTGAAGCAGGATCCAGGCTCTGAGCTGTCAGCACAGAGCCGGATGCAAGGCTTGAACTCATAGACCATGAGATCATGACCTGAGCCGAAGTCGGATGCTTAATTGACTGAGCCACCCAGTGCCCCTATGGTGTCTAATTTAAAATTCTCTAGAGGCACCTGGATGGCTCAGTCAGTTAAGGGTCCGACTTCAGATCAGGTCATGATCTCATGGTCTGTGAGTTTGAGTTGCACATCGGGCTCTGTGCTGACAGCTCAGAGCCTGCTTCAGAATCTGTGTCTCCCTCTCCCTCTGCCCCTCCCCCACTCCTCCCTCCCCCTTTTAAAAATAAATATATATATTTTTAATTCTCTAAAGCAATCATTCTCAAAATGTGGTCTCTGGACTGGCAGCATCAGCATCACTGGGAACTTCTGAGAACTAGAAACCCATGGGTCCTGCCCCCATATTGAATCAGAAACTCAGTACAGAAACCAGCAACCTGTCTTTTAACTAGCCCTCGAGGTTATTCTAAAGCATGCTAGACTCTGAGAACCACTGCTTTAAAACACGTATTTCCATATACTTGTATGAATAAGACAATATAAATCACTCATATATTTTCTATTTGTCAGTGCTGAAGTATACGTTGGGTATATGTTCCTATACACATTGAAGGTATCTTTTTTACCCAGTGTACCCTTTGGTTTGTACTAGAGCAAACCAAACACACAAGGCTATACCAGAACCTTTTCCCTTAATACTTCAACCTAAACTCAGAATCGGAAAATCTTCATCCTCGTCCACTGGACTCTTTCATAAAAAACTAGTTGTATTAACTTTGGTATTAAAAGGGAATTAAAACTGTTTTATAAGCTACATGAATCAAAGTCTTTATAGACTGAAAAAGTGTCACACAAATGTCCTATATGAAACACACCCTCTGAATCTATAAATCATATGCTGATTGCCTGTCTAACGCAAGCATGGAACAGGTATGTCTACTTAGTAACTGACTCCTATTATTACATCTACACTCCTTTTCTCTCTATAGCACTCAGAAAATTCTTATCTCAAATATGTTAAGTGTTTCTTACCGATTACAACTGCTATGGCCCCTAGTGCTAATCCCAAGACCAGGATTAGAGGTGCAACGAATAATTTTCCAGCTGGAAAACAAAAGGCAAAACCATTTAGTCTTAAAACTAATTTATCAAACAATTTCAGCAATGCTTTTTAATACCACAGTGTATGTGGTTTTTTAAGAAGTCTTATTATAACTAAGGCAATATTTCTCTAAGTAAATGTATCAGGTGTAGAACAAATATACTTATGTAAATTCAGTAACTTCACAGAAGTCCTGGGTGCATTAGTCAAACATCTCGTAAGTCATTTAAACTTTATTACCAAAAAAAAAAAAAAAAAAAAAAAAAAAAAAAAAAAAAAAAAAAAAAAAAAAAAAAATTCCAAAGTTACTGGCTCACTTTATACTACCAGAGCCATTCATCTTTATGCTTTCCCTTTAGATCTCTTTCATTTTCATCTTTCAAGATTCTGAAAGATCAACAAAAGAGTGACACATTCTGAGTTGGCAGGAGAAAACCTAATTAGCTCACAAAATGGAGAGGTAGTAGGTGCTACAGAGGGCTTACATCCAAGCCCACATCTGAAAATGTGATTTGCTTACTTCCCGGGTCCAAAGAAAACTAATAATATGAACACCTAACAGACTGAACTGCAATTGGGATGTTTAAATGTCGTTGGAGATAATTACCAATAAGCATACAATATATTTAAGGTTAGTCAAATGAATCCTTTTAATAAATTCAGAGAACAACCTGATGGTTACCAGAGGGGAGGGGGGAGGTAGGATGGGCAGAATGGGTGAAGAGGAGAGGGCAATATAGGCTTCCTGTTACGGGATGAATTAAGTCACCGAAAGAAAAGGTACAGCATAGGAAATACAGTCAACGGCACTGTAATAGTATATGGTATCAGATGGTAGCTACATTGGACATAAGCACAGCATAAGGTACAGAGAAGTTGATTCACTTTGTTGCACATTTGAAACTAATGTAACATTGTATGTCAACAATAGTAAAAAATTAATTAAAGAACTAAATTGGAAGGTCTACACTGGTTTCATGGAAAAAACAAAATGCAACGTGAGAAAATAAAGGAAGCACTTACAAGAAGGCTAAACCTGGTCAGGTTGGCAAATGATGGCGTCAACCAGCACTTTTTTTCTAAATAAACATCTAAGCAGTGATTCTCATACGTGCCAGTTTCATGTAAATCGGGCACAGAGTTCACAGTCAGAATTCCACTAACTTTGAAAGCACTAGCACACAAAAAAGAGGCTAGTAGTTCATGTCTTGTAATCATATAGTAACCTTGATCTTAAGCGGTATAGCCGCACGATGCAAACATGGCAAGAGATGAGGAAGGAATGGAGGGGGTTTTGCCACTTAAGAATAAACCAGCAACACTACTCTACAAGTTAAGGACAGTAATTTGGAATAACCAATTACCTAAATAAATAGACACATAATGCAGTCATTTGTTGGAAGTTTGTCAGAAAAGGTATTAACTTTTTTATGCATAAAGAATGGCCCTTGGAGCCATGACCAGACAAACAGAAAATACAGTCTTTAATCTCTAATTTAAAAAGATAACCATTTAATTGACACAATGTTTAACCATGTGTTTTACTTCTATTTTTCACCAATCACAGAATCCAATTAAGTAATTGGCCCCACTCTCTCTTTCTCTCTCTGCCTATCCCTCACTTGTGCTGTCTCTCTCAAAATAAATAAAATAAACTTTAAAAAATTAAAAAAACATTCTCAATAGCTGAAATAATATTCTATTATATCCATATATCATACCCTATTTAAATGTGTGTGTACTTAGGGGCACCATGATGGCTCAGTCGGTTAAGCGTCAGACTCTTGATTTCAGCTCAGGTCATGATCTCAGTGTCCTGAGATCAAGCACCATGTCAGGCTCCACACTGGGTGTGAAGCTGATTTAGGATTCTCTCCCTTTCCCTCTCCCTCTCCCCTCCATCCCTACACCCCTTGTGTGCTCTCTCTCTCTCTCTCAAAAAAATTGTGTACTTAATTTTTGTTCCCTTTTTAAAATTTTAAAATACGCCTGCAAATAAACCACTGTCAGCCTAGATTTACCACATTTTAAAATGCCCTTCACATTTCTTCGTAAAAGAATTGCACAGAATTTCTAGTTCATTCAGTAGAATATGGAAGTCCAACATTGAGGGGCACCTGGGTGGTTCAGTCAGTTAAGCATCTGACTCCTGATTTCGGCTCAGGTTATGATCTCATGGTTCATGGGTTCGAGCTCTGAATTGGTCTCAGCGCAACAGAATGGAGGCTGCTTGGGATTCTCTTTCTCTGTCCCTCCCCTGTGTGCTCACATGTGTTCTGTCTCTCTCTCTCTCAAAAATAAATAAATAAACTTAAAAAAAAAGGCCAGCATTGAGTATTAACAAAAAAAAACCAAAACTTGCTAATCTATACTTCAAAAAATATTTTTAATTTACATTTCTCTGACTACTCATAGCATTGGATTTTTTTTTTTTTTTTGAGAGAGAGAGAGAGACAGAGAGACAGAGCATGAGTGTGGGAGGGGCAGAGAGAGGGGGAGACACAGAACCTGAAGCAAGCTCCAGGCTGTGAGCTACCAGCACAGAGCCTAACACAGGGCTCGAACTTGTGAACCGCAAGATCATGACCTGAGCCAAAGTCAGATGCTTAACTGACTGAGCCAGGTGCCCCACAGCATTGGCTATTTTTAAAATTGTTTATTGGCTACTTGCATTTTTTCAATTCTGGTTCCAGACTTCATCTTTTAAAAAACAAACAAACAAACAAACAAACAAACAAACAAAAAACTGGATACTTATTTTTGGAGGAGGCTGTATTGCTTTTGTTCATATAAATTATTTGCCATCTTAAAGACCTATATTTTGTTTACTATTATACACTTTAATTTAATACTTGGGAATATTTGTGCGTAATGATAGGAGAATTAAGTATTTTTTCTCAGTCACTTTTATTTGCCACACCATTCATTGAATAAGCTGCCTACTCCCACCAGGGAGATGTCCCCATGGCAAAGGCTACTAAAATCATCCTCAAATCTTGTTCTCCTTTATTCTTCAGGAGCAGAACTTCTGATCCATAGCTGGACACATGGTCATGTGGAATGCAAACCATGTTGCCCATCTTCCAGCTGTGAGGGAAGAGCAGGCCCTTTCTCTGCCTCTGTCCAAGGACATCTGGAGGCTGCAGTCCCAAACTGAGGAAGCAAACGGGATTACCTCCCACAAAGATAAAACATTGGAGGGGTCTGCTATACTCCGTCTTCTCTCTTACATGGCAGGGAGAAGCTAGGTTTGTGACTTACAGAGTAAGTCCTTTTCCAGCCCTTGGTGCAGATGGGAGAGGTGTGGACCACCTCATTTGGAGTTATGGTCCAACAGCACTTAGAGGCAGCTGTCCTGGCGGTGGGAAAACAGGTGTGGGAGGGAGAGCTTATCTGAAAGCCGGCTGCTCCCTACTTCGTCAGGTCTGTCCAGACACGCACATATGCGCGCACACAGAGCAGAAGGTAGGCCAAAGAGAAAACCATTTACAGAAAGCTGACCATGAATTTTTTTAGGAAAAATGGAAAAGACTGTACAGAGAAGATATTTCTCTGCTGATAATGTTCAATGGTTGTACATTTTCTAGGCTGTTAAGTAACTGAACGCTATTTTGTGACCTGAGAAGAGGGTGGGAGTGGCGTCTGGGTCAATAACGAGAGGACCCACCGAGAATGCATCCAAAATATTATTGTACCATTAGGGCAGGAAATAATTTCCCTTATTTAAGAATGATTAGGGGCGCCTGGGTGGCGCAGTCGGTTAAGCGTCCGACTTCAGCCAGGTCACGATCTCGCGGTCCGTGAGTTCGAGACCCGCGTCAGGCTCTGGGCTGATGGCTCAGAGCCTGGAGCCTGTTTCCGATTCTGTGTCTCCCTCTCTCTCTGCCCCTCCCCCGTTCATGCTCTGTCTCTCTCTGTCCCAAAAATAAATAAAAACGTGGAAAAAAAAAATTAAAAAAAAAAAAAAAAGAATGATTAAACCAAATAACAGAAAGGAAAAAAAAATGATGGTCAAATAAAGATTAAAGTAAAAAAAAAAAAAAAGGAAGGAAACACCTTATCACAAAATGTCACTTAAGTAGGAAAGAACAAGTAATGCAGAAAATACAAGGATTTTGTGGTTTTGGGTTGCTCTCTGTATACACAGCCTTACAAATAGGTTATATCTCAAAACTTAATGTGCAATTTGGTATGCTCATGGAAATACTGTTATAAATAGTTAGATTCCCTAGCCAGCCCTCCAAAATATTGGAGTTTTGGGTAATGAAAACGCGAGGAAGAAGCCTCACAGTGGATATATTCCAGAGAAGTGGGGAGCTATTGGAAGAAGCAATATCAGGTCAGAAGAACATTGTATCACACAAGGTTGGTGGCATCAGGCCAGAGTGGGCATCTGTGTTTATGTCTGCATATTTGTGTATGAGATCGTGTGTTGCTGAGGACAAAGAAGGGGTGAATCCAAAACAAAACAAAACAAAAAAAAAAACATTGCATTTGGATATGTAAACTTGGGTTTGTATACAATGAGGGCATCTGACACTCATTTCATTAACTGTTAGCTATTAATACAACAGAAAATACACACAGTGACATCAACCAATAGATACAGTAAAACTCCAGTACAGGGTTCTGAAACATACGATTTTTACAAATTGTATTACACGTCTTCCATGAATGAATAGAGGATACGTGTAAGACCCATTGCTAGGTGTTGCCAGCAGGAAAATGAAGGTGACATTGTCCCTCTCATCAAATGGCTTACGATAAGGCTTCAGAAATTAAAAGACTAATGGCTTCACATTTCTGCAGTGTAATTTATAATTTGTTTTTCAAACAAAATCCGTTTGCTCATATGAATTGTGTCCTGCTAACAAATTTAAATTTCCATTCTAAACTCAAAAACAGAGAAAATATCTTCCTCCTGTTTTGGGGTGAAGTCCCCACCAGAATACCTGATAGGTGCTCAGAATTACCATGGCTACTATATCTCTGGGTTCTCTTATCACTGCTTCCTTCCCAGAAAGCATTCCTATAAATCATGCCGGACACTCACCACAGACCGACCCTCGCACTAATCTCCTTAGATGAGGTCTCTCTGGGAGGTAGCGATATTTGCATCCAAATATACTGAGGTTTGAAGTGTGGTCTCCAAAGAACCGGAGCTGGCGGTATCTTTCCCCACATCGGTAACAAAAATTAGTGTTACATTGTGAGCAGGTCATATGGTCACATCCTTCAGTTCTCTGGATGTGGATCTGTATCGGTGACAGAGGAAAAGACAAAGAAACGCTATTACAATTTTTTTAAAAGTAAAATCTGGCAAACGTTATTGAGTGACACAAGTTTCACCAAAACAAAAGCCTTACATAGAATTTGTGAGGCTGTCAGTTTACTTATAATGACACTCTCCAAGACTATTTGTATCAAATATTTTAACATGCAAAAATCTCAACTAGATTTCAGGTACTCAAGCTGTTGGCTTATTTTGACCAACATATAAACACACACATCCCCCCAAAAACTTACTTATCTTTCTATACATACACCTAATTCAATGGTTAGGAGGCGATTTAAAATGCTGTGAAAGTGTATTTTATTTGTGCTGTGATCAGCAAGAATGAGGTGACTTGAGGAATAAGAAGAGATAAAGAATATTCCTTAAAAGAAAGGATTATGTAGAAATTATGCATAAATATCAAGGAACAGACTTTTTTTTTAAGCTGTCATTTTTAAGTAATCTCTATACCCAACACGGGGCTTCAACCCACAACCCTGAGATCAAGAGTCACATGCTCATCAACTGAGCCAGCCAGGCACCCCAAGCCCCTTTCTTTGAGGAAGGAAATGATAGCAGCTGTAAGTGTATTCACAATACCCTTTCAGTTTCCAACTCTAATGTCATTTGCAAGTACCTTTACAGGACTGTTTATACAACGCCATCTGTAAAACTAAGCATCTTCCTCTATTGTTGCAGTCAAGTTACATGTAAATACAGCTTAACCCATACTGTAACAGTGTGGAGTCACTGTCTGAAACACTGAGGCCATGTTACAATAAAGATATTATTTCTTGGGATATAATTGGATACTTGGCTCAGAATCCTGGTGGACACTGCATACAATTGGAGCCATCTTTCATTCAAGTATACGCACCCTTGGTTTGTTAGGTGAAAAACCATGAAAAAGAACTTAACATTATTTCATAAAAAAAAAGAAAAAAGATTTGGTTACACAGTCCAACTCTTATATGATTAAAACAGGATCGGGGCGCCTGGGTGGCACAGTCGGTTAAGCGTCCGACTTCAGCCAGGTCACGATCTCGCGGTCCGTGAGTTCGAGCCCCGCGTCGGGCTCTGGGCTGATGGCTCGGAGCCTGGAGCCTGTTTCCGATTCTGTGTCTCCCTCTCTCTCTGCCCCTCCCCCGTTCATGCTCTGTCTCTCTCTGTCCCAAAAATAAATAAACGTTTAAAAAAAAAAAAAAAACAGGATCACCAGAAAGTCTTCCCATTTCACTATCAAGTAGGCATTTACTACATTCAAGTTGCATCCCACTTGTTCTCATTTATTTATATTATTTATATCTATATATAAGTTCTTTGCTTAGAAAATTTATTTAAAATGTCCCCAATACCATTCTGGCTATTGTAAATTTCTACCCATGACTTTGCTTTGGAACGGTTGTGTCAGTGAGTGTTTTAATACAACCGGGAACTTCGCAACTAACGTGAGTGAAACCCACCATTGGCCACTTGACTTTTCAGTGAAGCTATAGCCACAGTCCCACAACTTTGTACATTTTTTTAAAAGTTTTTATTTACTTATTTATTTTGACAGAGAGAGACAAAGAGAGAGCAGGGGAGGGGCAGAGAGAGAGGGAGACAGAATCCCAAGCAAGCTCCCTGCTGACAGCATAGAACCCGATGTTGGCCTCAAACCCACAAACCGTGAGTTCATGACCTGAACTGAAATCAAGTGTCAGCCGCTTAACCAACTGAGCCACCCAGGCACCCTTACACATTTTCTTTTTAAAGTAAACTCTACATTCAACATGGGGCTTAAACTCACAACCCTGAGGTCAAGAGTTGTTCCACGGACTTAGCCAGCCAGGTTCCCCAACTTGACACATTTCATTTGAAATCCTCCTCTCCTTCCCTTGATGCACAAGGTACATCCCTGAACTTCTGTATTAGTGCAGTTATATTTATATTATTCAAAAACTTCTCAATGGTTATGGAAATGAGAAAAAAATCACCCAGGTAAAAGAGAAGATATTTAATGTGAAAACAGAAATTAGGAAGTTGGGAGACAGGGGTGCCTGGGTGGTACAGTCAGCTAAGTGTCCAACTCTTGATTTTGGCTCAGGTCATGACCCCAGGGTCACGGTATCAAGCCCCATGTCAGGCTCTGCACTGAGCGTGGACCGTGCTTCTCTTTCTCTTTCTCCCACACTGCCCCTCCCCCTCCCACCCCAGCTTGTACACATGCTCTCTCTCTCAAAATATTTTTTTTTAAAGGGAAAATTTTGAAGATAAAGAAATTTACAAAATATAACCTTATTTTGTAGTTTTTGAAATTAAGATTTTTAAGTTTTTGAAGTTGCTAGCTCCGAATTATATGTAGTATTTCAGTTTTATTGATTAAATAACTAAAATTTTTAACTTCAATTTAAAAGAACAATATGAATTTTTAGAAGGACCTCCAGGTGCTTTCAAAATAACAACAGATAGGGGCGCCTGGGTGGTGCAGTCGGTTAGGCGTCCGACTTCAGCCAGGTCACGATCTCGCGGTCCGGGAGTTCGAGCCCCGCGTCGGGCTCTGGGCTGATGGTTCAGAGCCTGGAGCCTGTTTCCGATTCTGTGTCTCCCTCTCTCTCTGCCCCTCCCCCGTTCATGCTCTGTCTCTCTCTGTCCCAAAAATAAATAAACGTTGAAAAAAAAATTAAAAAAAAATAACAACAGATAGAAATCATAGTAATGGTGAAACTTTCATTTGAGCAATACACATATTCATGAACCCATCCTCTATCCATCTATCCACCCATCCATCTACATCCCTACCTACCTACCATCTGTCATCCACCTACTTACCTGTAGGTGATGATGGCCATTTTGAAGAAGTAATAACTACATGGGGGGCAGTATCCTACAGGCAGCACAATGACTACCCCCCAGCAGGCACTTAACAAATGAGAACAAATGAGAGTGAAGAAAGAAAAGTCTACTCAGTGGCTGGTAAGACCTTGGGGATTGAAAATCAGCAGGCTGTGGGGCACCTGGGTGGCTCAGTCGGTTAAGCGGCTGACACTTGGTTTTGGCTCAGGTCATGATCTCATGGTTTCGTGAGTTTGAGCCCATAGGGCTCTACACTGGCAGCAAGGAGCCTACTTGTGATTCTTTCTCTCTCTCCCTCTCTCTCTCTCTCTCTCTACCCCTCCTCCACTCATGCTGTCTATGTCTCTCTCAAAATAAATAAACTTAAAAAACAAACAAACAAACATTAGGTGGATTATAGGTTAAATGTCCATTCCCCCCCCAGGAGCTGATCCTTGGCAGGTAAAACCTAAGCTCATTAGGGAGGTTGGAAAAACCTAGGCTTTGACCCCAAGAAGCCCTGTGTTTGAATTCTGGCTCCACAAACTCTATAAAAAGAGGTTACTTCTTGCTTCAATTTAGGTAATATTACTTACATGAGAATAAAAGTGTGATAATATATATATGGTGCCTAACCCATTGGCACATACTGAGTCAGATCAATAATACTGATTCCATCTATCCCTTCCCCTTTGCCCACCTAAAAATGTGAGAAGTCAAATACCTGCTCAATGTAACTGCACACCTCCTGATTGTCAGGTGGTTCCCTTTTTTATATTTTCATATAGGTGATCCTTAGGTTGATGCTAAACTAAAGAGTACCTTCCTAGATAGGCAAGGGCTAGCTTGTGGCCAAGTGCATATGAGCATCTCTGGTCAAGAGTTACTAAACAAATCAACAGAATTTGTTATTTGTCAATGGAAGCAAAACTTGCTTTTCCTATTGACCACTTCATCTTTTTAAATTATATTAATTCTTTTTCTTTTTTTCCTCCCTGCAGTAAAAAAACCTGTCTATAGCTTTTGACTCCCCCCAGATTTAACTACTAAATAGTGTACTGTCGACCAGAAGCCTTATCAATAACATAGTTGATTACTACATATTTTATGTGTTATATGTATTAGCATACTGTATGCTTACAATGAAGTAAGCTACAGAGGAGAAATGTTATTAAGAAAATCGTAAGGAAGAGAAAATATATTTACAGTGAATCTGCACAGTTCAAATCTATGTTGTTCAAGAGCCCACTGCACACTGCACAAATTAGCTACAAGGCCCAAGAAGGAACTTGTACGGGTGAGGGTCTCTGAGGCTCGGCTCTTTAGCTTCCTGATTATTTCTCCCTGAGTCCAGTGCTTCCCCTCTGCTGTGCTTGTTTCTGTGAACGATTCTGAAGAACAATTCCTGTGACCACAGCCATTTAATAGTAGATGGCGTGAAGGAATAATATAGGCCAAAGGCCTTAGTGGCCCCTTGAACTATTCCTGATCCTGCTTTAAAGCACCTAAGCACTAGGAGAAGACATGTTCAGAGACAACTGCTGAGCACCCAAAATAAAGGTTATTTCATTGTATCCTCCACTTGTTGACTGTATATTGTATTTGATCTTTAAGAGGGGAAAATAAAGGTTAACAAATTTCCTGGTCACAGGGCATAGTGCTGTATGCGACCTCTAAAGGGAAAAGGACTGATATTTGTTTAGAGCCCATTATGTGCCGGGCATTGTACACAGATTAGCACCTTAAAGCCTCATAACCACACCATGAGACTGGCATTCTTATTCATAACCTGAGCTCAGAAATGTAGTCTGCTTGAGTGAATGGAGAAAGGATTTTGATTCATGTCTGTTTCTTTATTATGCTAAGTAGCCTCTTATTATAAACTTAAAGATAAAACCAGGGGGTCAACAGTATCCTTTGCTAAGTGACAGCACAATCTTTGTGCTAGTCAAACAAACATGTCTGCTCGCACGCATGAGGCCTATCTTGAGTCTCACTGCTTGCTTTAGCTGCTCTCTGGACCAATTTACATTCTTTCTGTAACATAATCTCAAAACTATTTCTGACAGGAAACATGTACTAATAAGTGAAACTTGTCACTGACAGTTCATCTGGCTCCAAATTTCACATATTGTCGCTACTTTATGTTTGCTTGTAACACTGCTT